ATGGAGACATAGGAATATTGCCAGCTTGCCCAGTATTGCATATGCCAGAAAGAATTTGTGCATGACACCAGCAAGATACTGCAATAAAGTAACGCCTAATGGGATATATACAGGCAAGTTTCTTGCCTCTACAATACTTCAAAATGTGTTGTTGAATTATTATCCTTAGTACCCCTTAGTACCCCTTATATTCATACTGGCGAATATCTGTAGCTCGGTGTAGGATGAGGGTGAAGGTTCGTTCTCCGAGCTTGAGGGTTGGTTTCCGAAAGTTTTGTTACCAGGCTAGGTAACGCTGCTGAAGATGTTATCTAGCCTGGTAACGAAACGTTCGGAAACCAACCCTCAAGCTTGGAGAACGAACCTTCACCCTCATTTATCGTACTTTGGGGCTTATGGGTCATTATAGTTCAGCAGTAACTGAAGGGCTTCCTACCCCTGGTTTGATTCTTGCTGAAGATACCTCTGTAATGGAAAGCATATATGAAACACCAAGGAGAATGGTATTGGCGTCCCTAACCTGATTCTTGCTGATTAAGGAATCCAGCAAATGAGTTTTCCCATTCTCTTAATTACATTATGGAATTTATGAGAAAGTCTTTCCCTTCCCATCTCTTTGAATCAGATCCCCTTTGTTTCTCTTTTAAACTGAAGATTACTGCACAAAGCTGAGCTGTGCTAGGGAAGCTGTGTTGAAGGTGCAGCTATTATCTAAATTATAAAGTTGTTATTCATATCTCAAGGAAATTGCCCCTGTGTATCAGAGGAAAGCAATTTTGTGTGTGGGGGGGGGAAGGGTATTATATCACAGAGAAAGTCTGAAATACTGTTTTTTCCCCAACTTAGTTTCCCTAAGTCAGACATATCAAACAAAAGCCGAGGTGGCACAGCAGTTAGAGTGCAGTACTGCAGGCCACTTTAGCTGACTGTGTTCAGCAGGTCAGCGGTTCAAATCTCACCGGCTCAAGGTTGACTCAGCCTTCCATCCTTCCGGGGTAGGTAAAATGAGGACCCAGATTGTTGGGTGCAATGTAAATATATATATACATTGCTTACTGGTGTACACCGCTTAGAGAGTGCTTGCACTTAAAGTGGTATATAAGTCTCATAAATAAATAAATAAACAAGGCCCGGGGGCCGGATGCGGCCCACGAAGTGGTTTCATGTGGCCTGCGAAGCCATCCTGGAAACAGTGAGGGAACGGCCCCTGCTGCCTTGGCCCTGGCCAGCCGGGAGCCAATGTACAATTTTATGGTGGCCATTTATGCTGAAACACATTCAGTCTTAGCTCCACAAGGCCGTTTGGAAACAGCGAGGAACCAGCCCCTGCTGTGTCGGCCCCACCCCCTGGGTGCATGCTGGGGAGGTGTCACCCTTTGTGAGGAATGAAGAAATGGACCATGCCTTGGCGCTTGCCCTGGTCCCACCCCCTTCTGCCAGAGTGTTGCGACGTCCTAGCCCAGTGTTTCATTATGAGGAAATAAACCACAAGCAGGAACGAGGAACAAACTTTACTAAAGAAGTGAAGCGTGAGAAAAGTCGGCACTGAGAACCATCCATTCTCAGTGCCTTTACATAGTGATCCTACCCACCATGCCCTAATTACACCAACCCCACCCAGCCAACACCCGGTAAACTACCATCCGGTCCCCAAACATAAATAACACACCCCATGTGCTATTAAGCCGTCCCGACAATCAGCTGGCCATGCGCATGTGCTATTAAGTCGTCCCGACAATCAGCTGGCCATGCGCATGCGGATAATCCTCTCTCTAATGTCGGGCCTCTGCGAGGCTCCGAAACTCCTCCGCTCTTCCGTGAAGACGCCGAGTGATGATGTCATAGGAAGGCTGCAACAGCTTCGGAGCTCCAAGGATGGCTGGCAAGAACAGGACCAGGTATACCGGAGGGCGTTGGGAAGACTGGTGGGGTATCACCATACTCTGATGCCTCGCAGGGCACGACGTACCGCCTCCCTTACCAGGGTTCCCCCTGGAAAGGAAACACACCAAGTTATCTAAGGTACAACACTGGTGGCATTGTCCCTCCCCCCCCCCGGTTTTCCCGGGTACTTTTTATGGAACGCCTGGACTAATCGGGGTGCATTTACATCAGCAACGTTCACCCAGGACGCTTCTGACAGAGGGTATCCTTTCCATAGGACCAAATAGTACAGCCCACCCCGTTTCATTCAGAGACCGTCAGATCTGTCCCACTCCTGCCCAGGCCCCCACAGGAACCCTTGACGCGAACGATGTAGAGCTGGCCATGCCCACCCAGTAGGCCACACCCACTCCATCCACACCCACCCAGTCGGCCGCACCCACCCGGCCCCCCGAGGGCAACCGCAATGCTGATGCGGCCCTCAATGAAACTGAGTTTGACATCCCTACCCTAAGTGATCCTTCTTTGAAAATGCTTTGAAGATGAATCTATAGTAGAAAGTCTCCTATTCCATCACTAAAATTGAAGCTCTGGTAAAGCAAGGAATTGTAAAGCCACATGAATGTGGACTTCAAGTGTACACTGGAGAATTTGAAACAGGAACTAGAAACAGTTGGGTGCAGAGACATAAAACATTCTTTTGAATAGTCTCTTTTTGTCATGTTTTGTGGTAGAAAATTTTGTTTCATCAGTATCCAAGTGATTTCATGAGATTAAAGAAGAGGTGAGTTATTAAAGAGGATAATATTTGTACTGTAGCTTAGAGTTGATTGTGGAGTTCTTAGTGCTCTCTGAACTTGATTATTGGAAAATGAAACATCTGGAAGAAAACAACCAAGCTCAGACAGCACCAAGGACTCCACGTTTCTAAACCTACAAATATAATACAGTTCTGAAGAAACCTGG